AGCCAGGATGCCTAGCCCCTCACCCTGTTTTTTTCTGTTGCCTTTACTGACCAAAGTGGAGGAGACCAAAACTTCACGTTCTAATTCTGTTCTAAAACAACAAGTGGCCTCATTTTCTCTAGGGCAGTACCTATTCACCAGAAAGCAAAAGGCTAAACAGAAATGCAAGCCGAGTTCTTCATTTCGTGACGAACATGTGATGATCCTAGCCCATGGTCCTAATTACCGTGTTTCCCCAAAATAAAACATCCTCCAAAAATAAGACCTACTTACAGGTTTCCTTCTGAGTGAAATATAAGGCATCCCCTCGAAAATAAGGCCCCCCCTAGGCTAAACATGAGAGATTTGGTGCACTGATTCTGAAAGAAATGGAGTCACAAGAAATTCACCAGGAAATTCAGGAATTGGATTGTTATGATGATGTTCCAGAAGATGATGACATGATTGTCATTGAATAAATGAGTAAATTCTTGATACTGTAGGATTCACAGTTTGTCTGGATTGTGTTGACAACTACCGTACTACCGTACAGTATACAGGTAATAAATTTCCTTTATTTTCATTTAACAATAAATGTGTACCGTATTCTTCTTCATGGAAAAATAAGACATCCCCTGAAAATAAGACCTAGAGCATCTTTGGGAGCAAAAATTAATATAAGACACTGTCTTATTTTCGGGGAAACAGGGTAATTAGGAAAATAGATACTGCCATTGCGCTTATAAAGCCACAAACCACATCCACCGTCATGGTTAAGAAGAGATTATTCTAAACTCCACTTGTACACACTAAATAAATATGTAGCACCAGCCAATAAAACAGGAAATAAAACCAAAAAACAGTCTGGGACATTCTGAACAGCCAGATGGCATTCCGTGATGTACCCTAACATTCGAGCCAGCAAAATGCCTCGGTGTCCCTGGGATGAACGCATGTGTGAAGCGAGGCGCCACACACTTGCTTGGTCTTCCCGTGGGATGCAGATGTTCAAGCATAAGGCTGGGGTGACATGCATTCGTTTTAAGGAGGTAGATCTGTGCACAGTACTGGACGCTGCATGTTGGACACTGAACCTTATGTGTCCATTTTTAAATTTCTATTTTATTTTTTGTTGATTTCAGAGGAGAAGGAAGAAGGAGAGATAGAAACATCAATAGTGAGAGAGAATAATGGACTAGTTGCCTCCTGCACGCCCCCTACTGGGGATCAAGCCTACAACCGGGCCATGTGCCCTGACCGGGAATTGAACCGTGACCTCTTGGTTCATATGCTCAGCAGCTGAGCCACATCATCTGGGTTACGTAACTTCCACTCACTGTACCTACAGCCTATTCCCTTCCCTGTCCTTCCCCACCACTCTCCAGAATAGCCCCCGCCACCCCCTAGGCTCACAGGCAGCTCCCATCCCTGTCTCTCATTCTCCACGACCTGCCAAGCTTTCCAGGAAATCCTCCTCTTCTTCTTCTTTTGCTTCCTATTCTCTTGCTCACAGCTTAAAGTAAAATTCCTTAAGCCTCCCTAACCCTTGGGTTTACAAAGTGCCTTTCCCACTGAGTCCGGGATTATCACCATTTTTTCAATGAGAAGACCAGGGCTCGGAGAAGTTAAAAAACTTGCAGTGGACTCTTATTTGAAATCCTAAAGCTTTTTTTTTCAGGCTGGCTCTACACCACCTTCCCAGCTTTCTATGTACCCCACTCCGTCCTAGAATGACCTATGGTTATGATGGGCGCTTTTATCTCCTAAATACATCGTAAGCTTTTCCATGTCTGTGTCCTTGTTCACTCGGGCCTCCCTTCCTGAAATCCCTCACTCGCACCAACCTTCTCTACTCAACCAGAGAGTCCCCCGATTCTCCTGACCCAGCTTCAGACCTGGCCAGTTAGTCCCCTTGGGAGGTCTTCCAGATGCACAGCCTGGCTGACAGGCACGTAGTAGGCTCTGCCTTGCTGTATGGATTCTTTTTCCCCTCAGAGTGGAAGCCATACGGGAGCCATGTTGGGGGCTCATGGGTGGGTGGGGCAGAGGCTCAGAATGATCCAGAGTCAGAGCCTGGGCTGGGGAGAGGTTTGTGAGAACTTCCCAAGGTCAGCAGCTCCTCAGACTCAGGGAGCCTGGCGGGTCAGGGCCTCATGGTTTCATGTGGGGTCGCTCCTGGCCCTCAGAGGTGGACTTCTCTCAGGATTCTGAGAACAGTGGCCCATACCAGCGTCCCCGTGGTGCCTCATCCTGTTGAACTAAAAACCACCATAGCTGAGTTTTTGTTTTGTTTTGTTTTAATATATTTTATTGATTTTTCACAAAGAGGAAGAGAGAGGGATAGAGAGTTAGAAACATCGATGAGAAAGAATCATCGATCAGCTGCCTCTTGCACACTCCCTACTGGGGATGTGCCTGCAACCAAGATATAAGACCTTGACCGGAATCGAACTTGAGACCTTTCAGTCTGCAGGCCGACGCTCTATCCACTGAGCCAAACCGGTTTCAGCCACCATAGCTGAGTTTTAATATTTTCCTCCTGAGCATTTTTTCCCCTTTCTGCAAAGCTGTTCTCCCTCAGCATCTAGTCATGAGGAAGGCACGTCTCAGTAGTCCCGAGGTCCCTGGACACTGAAGCGGCCCCCTCAGAGATGAGCACAAGGCACAGCTTAGTCAGACCTGCTGGTGTGGGGAAGACAGCGCCTAGGGTGTGTGTGTGGGGGGCCCCCCAGGTGGAGGGCAGTCACAGGCCCGAGCCAGGGCCACCCGGCCTGTTGTCACACACACAGTTGCAACCGCAGCTTGTTCTCTGTCTCACACAGGTTGCTCAACCTCAACACTGTTGACATTTGAGACAGGACAGTTCTTTCTGTGGGGCCACCCTGGGCACCGCAGGGCAGGTGTTTGGGAGCGCCCTTAGCTCCCAGCACAGGGTGCCAGGAGCAGCCCCCTCGCCAGTTGTGACAACTGAAAACATGGTCAGATGTCTCCTGGGAGGCAGAAATGCTCCTGGTTGAGAACTGCTGGCCAACCAGAAGTTGCTGGCCAGAGTTGAATAAATTCCAGCTCTCAAACTTGTTATACGCTGTTAGACTCTGTCCAAGGAAAATCATTCAGGAGCTTTTCTGTCTTATTGTGTTGCTCCCCGAGGCTTTACTTGGTATGCCCCTCACCATCCCCACGATAAACATATAAATCCCCCAGTCAAACCAACATTCTTTCCTTCCTGGGAGCCTCTCCAACTGAGCCGGGAGGTCACTGGGACTCTCTCCTGAGGTCTAACTGAGACCTCAGTTTGATTCGAGAAGAATGACTGTTATTGCCTCCCGATGGGCAAAGCATCTCGCTAACAGGGGCTAGGAAGAGGCTGTTCAAACAGTTATAGGCTAATAACCAGGAAGCACATGTTGTAGAAGCAATTACACGGCCACCCTTGTTCTTTCCGAAGGCCAGAATTCCCGCATATGCATTTGTCACCCCTCAAAGCACTTGGCCACCCAGGGGCCACCTCTGGGCCCTCTGCCCACCTGTTCTAGGCCCACTCAGCCTCCAGCCTTCTCCCACCTTTTGTTTCTTGTGCAAAAGCGGAGAGTGTTCAGCATGTTTGAGTCACAGTAAGGAAGCCACTGTGTTTGGAGAGGATTGATGAGGGAAGAGAGGTGGGACATGAGTCAGGCTGGCCCAGGTATAGCCTGCCGGGGTTCATCTCCCTGGGGACACAGGACAGTGTCATGGTGTGACGGACACTGCTTGCAGAAAGTCAGTTATCCCAGCGGCTCAGGAGCAGGTTCTGTGCTTCCTCCAGTGGGAACATGGCCGATAGAAAGCAGGGAAATGTTGCCGGAGCTGGTTTTGCTCAGTGGATAGAGCATTGGCCTGCGGACTTGAGGGTCCCAGGTTCGATTCCAGTCGAGGTCATGTACCTTGGTTGCAGGCACATCCCCAATAGAGAGGTGTGTAGGAGGCAGCTGATCAATGTTTCGCTCTCATCAATGTTTCTGACTCTCTATCCATCTCCCTTCCTCTGTAAAAAAAACAAACAAAAAAAACAATTAAAATATATTTTTTTTAAAAAAAGAAGAAGAAGAAGAAGAAGAAAAAAGCAGGAAAATATTGCCCTAGCCAGCTGGGCTCAGTGAATAGAGCATTGTCCTGTGGACCAAAGGGTCCAGGGCTCGATTCTGGTCAAGGGTACCTTGGTTGCAGGCTCCTTCCCAGCCTAGGCCCTGGTTGGGGCACATGTAGGAGGCAACCAATTGATGTGTTTCTCTCACATCAGTGTTTCTATTTTTCCCTCTCTCTTCTGCTCTCCCTAAAAATCAATGGGAAAATATCCTCGGGTGAGGATTAGAGAAAGCAGGGAAATGCTAGCCGTACTCCTACTCAACAGCAGAGCCTGTCGCCAGAGCCGGTCCCCAGCCCGTGAAAGCTGACAGCCATGTCTCTGTGTTCGCCCACAGGAATCTGAGCGGCTGGAGCTCATGAACGCGGAGCTGAAAACCCAGATCGAGGAGCTGAAGCAGGAGCGGCAGCAGCTCATCCTGATGCTCAACAGGCATCGCCCCACCTGCATCGTCAGGACCGACAGCGTTAAGACCCCCGACTCAGAAGGCAACCCACTGCTGGAGCAGCTGGAGAAGAAGTGACCATGGGCTGGGAGGAGGATGAGGAGGAGGAGGAGGAGACAGGGAAAGGGAGGAGGAGGAGGGTCCCAGAGGGCTCTTCCTTGCTGCATGAAAAACTCTTCAATGAGGCTCAGCACAGCCAGCATTGGCCCTGCTTTTTTGTGAAACTCCGATCAGCCACAGCAGGGGAGGAAACCCAGGCTGATGAAACCCAGGACCAAGCGCTGAGACCAAAGTAGTCCTGAGGGGGGCCTGTTCTGCCCCGGGGCCAGCCTTGCAGGAGGCAGGACAGAGGCTCTGGGCCGGAGAGACGCCCAACCAGGCAGCTGCGGGCACTTCTCTGGCCTCTCCTCCAGGGCATGCACCCAAAGGACCTCCGAGCAGCCAGGAAAAGCCATGAGTTCAACCAAAATTCGGCTGAGGATGGAACTCAAAGTGAAACTGCAATCTGCCTGCCCCAGCCCTGACCCTGACTCTGACCCTGACCCCGATGCAAGGCTGGAGAAGGGCACAGTGCCAGGCCCTGCTGTACCCACCCGCCGTGGTCCAGCGTGGTCCTGCCCGGAGTGGCAGCCGGGGTGCACCTCGCCGGCCCTGCTGGAGCTGCTGTGGCACGAGGCGCGGGCGCCCTTCCAAAGCACATACTCACTGAATGTTTACAGACTGGCTGTCCTGGCAGGGCTCTCAACTGCACATGTTTTTTTTATACTTTCTTTTGTTTTGTTTTGTTTTTTAAATATTTTTTACAAAAAAAAAAAAGATTTTATACAAGCAATATATAAATGGATTTCTATAATCACTTGATGTGATACAGTATAAATATGCTATGGTTTGTTTGTTACGAACAGATATTCAGCAGTTATGGCCGTTGTGTGTAACTCCTAAGTACTGTAGTCTGGGTTTTGGGGGTGGCAGGGGCGGGGGTGGGGTGCATTTCCATCCTGGTAAAACCCTTCATAGTACTCAGTCCTGTATCGCTCAGTAAACATTACTCTTACTTACCCAGATGCCTCCTGTGGTGCCTGCCTAGGAGGGGATGGGGTGCAGGGCATGCTCACTGGGCCTCCCGGCGTGTGGTGTACCAGAATGTTTGGAATATCTGCTGCGGGCTCCTTGGTTTTCATAGCAGCCCTCCCAGGTAAGTGTTGATGTGCCCATTTTACAGATGAGGAAGTTGAGGCTCAGAGAAGTTAATGAAACCTGCAGTACTTCTTTTATTCACTCCATGTATGTTCACTGAGTGCCTCCACCTGTGTGCCAGGCACCCTACAAGGCATAGGGCGGTCACTGGGGAATAAAACAAACCGAGGCCCAGTGTTGGTGGAGCTTCCAGTCCTAAGCTAAATCCTGGGCTTGCTCCATACATGGTCTCAGTTCATCTTCACAACAGTCATGCCAGGGAGCAGCAATGGCCGCCATTCACGGGTGACGAATTAGAGGCCCTGGGAGATGAACTTGCAGCCACCATTTGTTGACTTTTACACGTGACATAATATGGTCTCATTTGCATGGAAATAGGCATCACTGCCCCATTGTACAAATGACCGAACTGAGAGGGCAAGTGACTTATCCAGGGTCACCCAGCGAGCGAGGGGCAGGGCTGGTGTCTGAACTCTGCCTCCAGGATCCTATGACTCTCCACCTGTCACCAGCTGACTCTGTGGTTATCCTCGGGGTTGGATGTCTCATCTGATTAGAACAGGAAGCCTGTGAGGCCACGGTTTTACAGATGTAGTTTCCGGAGGACTGGATAGAGTGTCAGGCTATGTCATGTTCGTGGAGGGAACCAGTGACCCAGGGAAATGTGTGCCTGACCTAGAAGAGGGGGTGTGGATCACTCAGCCAGGGCCTTACCTGCACAGCTCAATACATGACTCCGGAAAGCAAGGATGGCTCAGAGTGGTAGGCAATAATTGCCATCAACTCGGCACACAACAGCTCACGAGGCACTTCATGCATTATCTCATTTCCAATCACAGCCCTACGAATAGGTGGGATAGGTGCTTTTAGCTCCATTGTATAGTTGTGCAAACAGGCTTACAAAAATGAAAGTTCATCCACCTGAAAAGAGGCAGAACTACAATAGGAGCTGAACCCTACTCTCCCTACTTACTTTTTAAAAAATTTTTTTATTGATTTTTTACAGAGAGGGAGAGAGAGATAGAAACATCGATGAGAGAGAAACATTGATCAGCTGCCTCCTGCACACCCCTTACTGTGGATGTGCCTGCAACTGAGGTACATTCCCCTGACATTCCCCTGACCGGAATCAACTCGGGACCTCTCAGTACGCTGTATCCACTGAGCCAAACCAGCTTTGGCTACTCTCCTATTTTCTTTCTTTCTTTAAAAAAAAAAAAAAATATTTTATTGATTTTTTACAGAGAGGAAGGGAGAGAGACAGAGAGCCAGAAACGTCGATGAGAGAGAAACATCGACCAGCTGCCTCCTGCACATCCCCTACTGGGGATGTGCCCGCAGCCAACATACATGCCCTTGACCGGAATCAAACCCGGGACCTTTCAGTCCGCAGACTGACGCTCTACCACTGAGCCAAACCGGTTTCGGCTACTCTCCTATTTTCTATGGTGTATTAGCTCTTCTCCATCACTGGGGCTAGATAACTAGTGATTGATGATGAGGTTTCATATAGCAATGACCATGCGTTGCTTCCCAAATCATGAGCAAGGCCTTCTGGGATGGATGGGAAATGAGAAAAGGTCATTATATCTTCGGTTTCTTACTCAAGTTCTCTCCGCCCTGCCTTGGAAGCAGGGCCTGGTCAGCTCCCTGTCAGCTGTGGCAGCCACAGTAAATCCTCAGGTGGATAAGTCCTTTGACATTTTTCAAGCTGTGAGAAAAACAAAGATGTAGATTTATAAGGGTCCTTCAAGTGACCTGGTAGAAGTTCCTGCCTCCTGCCTCTGGTCCTATGCTTGGATGCTGTGAGCCAGTACCTCCAGAATAGGCCCCCTTAGCCTCTGCAGATGGGCTGCCTGCCAGAATCAGTGCTGTGAGGCCTTGGTGTTTCTTCCTCACCAGGAGCTTCACTCCCTCCTGGGGGTAGCCAGAAGTCACAAGCACAGTCTTCCTCATAAGAGCTAATGTTTGCATGTGTTCTGTGTTCCTGGCACTTAATTTATTATTATTATTATTATTATTATTATTATTATTATTATTTTATAGCTTTTTAGAGGGAGAGAGAAACATCATTGTGAGAGCAAACATCAGTGGGTTGCCTCCTTCACGCCCCCTATCGGGGATCAAGTCAGCAAACCAGGCATGTGCCCTGACTAGGAATTAAACTGGTGACCTTTCAGTACATGGGACAATGCTCAACCAACTGAGCCACACTAGCCGGGGCTGTGCCTCTCACTTTAGGTGTGTTACTGCAGCAGGTCCATATGACCTTGCCAGCAGGTAGGTGCCATCATCCCCATGTTATAGATGAGACAGCAGAGGCCCAGAAAAGAAGTCACTTGCCCAAGGTCACAGTCCTATTGGGTGGCAGAGCCCAGATGTTCTTACAGTCTGACTTCAGGTGTACAAACACAAGGGCCGGGCCTCACCCTTTGGGGAAAGCTCTGTTTGTGGTGTGACCTCCATCACGGTGAAACTCGTGTGGGGAAACACTGAGAATTCCCAACTCTCAGACATCCATCTCCAAGTGGATGTAAGAAGACATACTTTAGCCGAAACCGGTTTGGTTCAGTGGTAGAGTGTCTGTCTGCGGACTGAAGGGTCCCAGGTTTGATTCTGGTCAAGGGCATGTACCTTGGTTGCGGGCACATCCCCCATGGGGGGTGTGCAGGAGGCAGCTGGTTAATGTTTCTCTCTCATCGACATTTCTGGCTTTCTATCTCTCTCCCTTCCTCTCTGTAAAAAAATCAATAAAATATATTAAATAAATAAAAAAGAAGACATACTTTAAAGGCAAATGGGTTCAAGGCCAATATTCTGCTGACTAGCCCTTGGCCTCACTTTTATCTGAAAGGTGGGATATAATCCAAGTCTTGTTTATGGGGTTGTCAAGCTCAAGTGAGGAACGTATAGGACAAAGTCTTGTGAAATACAAAACTTCATAAAATGGTAATTTCTTGTCCTCTGTTAGTGTGGACAGTGTTGATATTTACCACATAGTACAAATTATGCAAATACCTTTTATCCTCTAAATACCTTTTATTCTTTGAAGGTGGCTGCAGACAGAGTGAGTTTTCTGGCCATGAATTCGGTTCCCACGGTGATAAGTGCCTGGGTTCCAAGACTCCTGGGTTTGTTTGGCTCCTGATTGGCCACAACTAGCTTCGTTGGGCTCATCCTTTCCGTGGGCCTCCCTACACCCTCCTGCCAGGTGTCCTCTATGCTGAGTGGCCGTGAAAATCAGCTGGACAATGTGAGAAGGATAAAGCTCATTTGCAATCAGATGGGCAGAAACTAGTACATGTTGGTCAGGATACGGATTAAAGAGAACTCACCTGCCGTTAGTGGGAAACCTGTGTGACTACTGTGTCAGGCAATCATCAGTGACACTAAAGGTAAACGCATCCTTTGACCTAGCCATTCCCCTCCTCTGTACATCCCTTAGAGGAAGTCGAGCATAAGGGCATGAGGAAATGGATAAGAAGGTTCGCTGGCCCTTTGTTTGTAATGAAGAGAAATTGGAAACAACCTAAATAGCTAGCAACAGAAGAGCAGATAAATTGTGTCTTCATAAAATCGAATTTTGCTGAAACCAGTTTGGCTCAATGGATAGAGCGTCGGCCTGTGGACTGAAAGGTCCTGGGTTCGATTCCGGTCAAGGGCATGTACCTTGGTTGAGGGCACATCCTTAGTAGGGGGTGTGCAGGAGGCAGCTGATCGATGTCTCTCTCTCATCCATATTTCTAACTCTCTATCCCTCTCCCTTCCTCTCTGTAAAAAATCAATAAAATATATATTAAAAAAATAAAATAAATAAAATTTTATTCAGCAGTTAAAAAGAATGAACCATAGGTATCAACGTGGACAAATCTCAGAAACAATGCTGAGCTGGAGTAAAGGGGGGAAACTAGAGGGGGACAGCGGCAGTGTACCATTTATGGAATCTTTGTAAACATGTACATTGGTATATATTTGTTGATGGGCACAAACATATCTGAGTACTAGAGGTATAAAAGCTTGCCCAGGAATGCTCTAAATAGCAAAACCGGTGATTGGAGAGGCTCCTGGGAAGTGTGGATGGAATCTGCAAAGGTGAGGAAGACACTGAGTTTCATCCATAGGTGCAGCGTTTCATTTCATTTTTGTCTGATCTGAATCAAATGTAGAATAATGTTGGATTTTTTCAGAGGTGAGTGACATGCTCACAGATATGGGTTATGGTCTCTCCAGACTTCTCTGAATGTTTGGTATTTTTCAAAATAAAAGAGAACAAGCCACAACACAAATAGAAGGTTTTGTTTTTCCACACGTTCCTTAGCCAGCTCAGGGGAAAAAAGAGAAATCTGAAATTACAGTGGAGTTGCAGCAGAGGGTCTTTGAACTGTAATTCCATGCCTAGAGGGAGAGGATTCAAAGAGTGGGTCTTGTTTAGCTGGTCCCAGGAAGAGGACACCTTGGGAGTGTTGATCTGCTCATTTCAGTGGATCCTAGTCAGGCACTCAACATACTGAGCAATTGGAAGCATATTCAAGGCTAATTTCAATCTACATTTTTTTTTTTTCATTTACATGCTGACTTTTTAACCCAACCCCTATGTAAAATGCAATCCACTGCACTTTTAAGGCTGAAAGCAAAGTAAAAGGGAAGTGTTTAAGTGACATGAA